CCCCCCCCCCCCCGTTTCCTCACGCCGCTTGTCAATTCCAACCCCAACAGATTCAAGACAAAGGCCGGCAGAGACTTGGCGATCAAGCGCTCGGGAGAGGCGCTGGGATCCTACTGCTCGTGGTGGGACCCGGGCGATGTGGTGACGGTAATCAGGGGCAGGGATGTAGCGAGCGACAGCGACGGCGGCGGCATCGACGACATGCTCGTGGTTTTGCCGCAGGGTCGCAGCGTCGCCGACGTGCTAGACAAGGTGGGTAAGGAGTTATGTACGGCAGAGGGGGGTCACCCCCATCTTGCACTGTTGGGGTATGGAGACACAACCCTACTTTGCCCTGTTGGCCGCGTCCTATTTCGTCGTAAGACCAACGAAGCAAGGCTGGCCGTTTTAATCTCAAAAGAGTGCAAGACTTCACTCCAAAAGTGCAAGAAGGGCACCACCCCCCTGCCCTGCGGTAGCACCAGTTTTAGGTGGGGTTGGTGCACGGTCGGCTGCTGCTCTGTGTTTCTTCGGTTCTGGTGTGGCTCTTTTGAGCAAAGCTTCACGTGCGTTCGGAACAAGAAAGAGCCGTGTCTCTCGTGTGTGCGTAAGGTAGCATCAACCGCTATGCGGCTGACCACATGAGAAGACGCCGGTCATACAGCGTAATAGGAAACGCGCGCACGCTCGCGTGTGGAAGTGGCTGTTTTGCGTGTGTGTTTCTTGGACTTGCGTCGACCACGCCAACCGTCCGACGACACCAAAGGATGTATGCGTGCTCGTGTTGGTTCCCATGTCATGTGCCACTCACTTCCTTTGCTCTCTCTTTTCTGCGCTTGCTTACAGCGGTGAAGCGGGGGTCGGGGTGTGTGGGGAGCATTGCGTTGAAGGGGCTCAAAAGGGAGGCCGGGTTGAACATGTGTCGGGTCGAGCAAACCCCCAGAAATACACCAGTGTGCGCGTGTTTCGCTCGCTCTCCCGCTCCTTGTGGTGCAGGTCGAGGCGCGGCTGCCGAAAGACCTGACCCCGGCATTGGCGGCGCAACGAACCGACGACGACGCCACCAACAACAGCAAGAAACGTCCTCGACGGCATCGAAAACACGACGATGGTGAGCGCCCTCAACAACTTCCCGAAAGCCAGCTCGAGGCCTACCGACGGGACATGCTTCGGGCGGCGCTCGGTTGCGGCCTTGCGGAGGCCCTGGCGCTCGGACCCAAGCGGGGGGCCCCCGCCGCCGCCGCGCGGGTCGCGGGGACCGACGAGGACAACGCCCGGAGGGTGGCCATCCTCGCCTCTGGAGAAGCTGCGACGGCACTGGACCGTGGTACGGCGGCGGCGGCGAGAGAAGGTCGAAGAAGTAGCGGCAGCGGGGGGGGCGTACAAGTAGTGCCTTCGGGTCCTGTCGGGGGTGCTAGGGCACAGTGTCGACGGCGGCGGCGACTGCTGCTGGAGGAGGAGGGGGAGTCCCCGGTAGCCAGAGCGGTGGAACAATAGCAGCACTTCGGAGTAAGAAAGAAAGGCGGACCGTTGTTTTCCCGCAGTGTGACCGCACACTGGACCACGCCCACGACCCTGTGAAGCATGTGCCTGCCAGCGACGCGAGTCACAATGCGACTCGAATTTACTCCAAGAACCGATTACCACCAACACACTAAACCAGTGTTATGAAGTTTTCCCGCAGGGGGCGGTGTGTGTTGTGTGATCCTCTGCACGTACGACGGCACCAATGAAGGATAGTAGGAGTGTGTTCGACTTTTGGACGGCAATATAGCAGCGTCCCGAAAGAGTGCAAGGCAAGATACGCGGTTTGGATTGGTGGGTGTGCACGGTGAAATAGGCCTGCACAGAGCGCAACCAACATCACACCCAAGAACCAACACTTCCCGTGATTTTTGGCAGCGGTACGCCGACCGCGTAAACTCGCGCGCACCCTCTACCTGGGGTCTTGTGAAGCTCTCTTCTTCAGCTATCGTAAGACCCGGGATGTCATTGTGGACAATGCTGCGTTTCCCAATCGGTCACGATTCCCGCGCCCGAACAAATGCCTCTCCGCAGAGTACGATCCGGTTCTCGTATATCCGGCCTGGTGTTGATTCTGTAGGCCGCTGGGAGATCCATGCGATCTGACTTGCTTGCTGAATACTCCAGAGTATTGGCGAAGGCCACTAAGTCTAATATGTTACTATGAGTACATGTTTCCCCCGCGCAGGCCTTTCTTTTTATCCCCCCTACCCCGCTACGTCCTCTTGAGGACACGTGCTGGATGGTCTAACCGCTAAGGCATGCAACACATAAGTGCGCCCGGACCTTACCCCCCTTCTACTCCCGGAGACACGCGAGTCAGAGGCAAAGGAAAGGGGCAGGTCGGTTGGGGTGCCCCTCCCCCCTTGACGGAAGGTTTCTAGAAAGACAACAAAAAATAATTTACACCTAACAGCTGGACACACGCCCCGAAGACGCGTGAGTCAGAGACAAAGCGAAGAGGTAGGTCGGTTGGCATGCTCCTCCCCTCGACTACTGCCAACTGAACTTGGTGAGGTCGGCAACCTACACCGTTCGCCTGGCGATTTCTCACAGGCCGCTACGCGACCGCAGAACAAAATTAATGACAATTGATGATGACTCACGCGCCTCTCTCTGGACACACACGCCTCTCTCTCATCAAGCACGCTGACGACGATACTACAATCGAGACACCCCCCTCCCCCCCCTCGCCCGTCCCTCGACCCCCCCAGGCCGCCCTTCAACCGTTAATTACTTCCAAGCTTCCTTATCGCATAGCTCCTGTTCACCTTGCATAAACCTGTACAACGCCGCAGGTATGTAGATCAAGCACGCGCGGGTAAAGCAGACAGCTAGCCAGGGGGGGGAGGGGGGCGTGACTCTTGATAAAAATGATCCACGCCACCCCCGGGGGAGTATCGCCGATTGACCAGATGCAACTCCGACTACAGGCATGGCCATGACTCGGCAAGAATGTTCACAGGATGTGCTCCACACCCGAGACACAACAACAGCAACAACCGACCCTCCATTGTTTACCTCTTCTCAAAAGGGGGATCGAAATGCCCAGCAGGTTTTGGACCCAGCGGCAGTTTTCACAGGATGTGCTCCACACCAGACATAACAACAGCAACAACCGCCGCCCCATTGTCTACCCTATCTCTAGGGGGACAGCGAAGCTCGCAACACCGCTTTCGTTTACCTTAGCGCCGCCGCTGCTGTGCCGTAACACACGAGCGCTGCTGCCCCTCGTTTCATTCCCAACGCAGAAACACTCAAACATCGCAGAGTAATCCGTTTTCACCCTCACACGCCTCGCTCGTCCTGTTTGTGACCCGGTGCCCTCTTCGATACGAGCGGGCCAACCGCACCCTACCAAAACTGGGCAAACCGCCAACCGCTGCTTCCTCTCTTTGACCACTCACAAGAGGTTGTTGTTGTTGTTGCTGGTGGCTTCGGATCAAAAATCAACCGGGTCTCCTCTGCTCAGCACCTTAATGCTATCTGGTTCAATTTCCAGTTTCCAACTCGACTGTACCTTCCGGAATAGGGGACCCGTGGTATTGAACTCAATGCCTTACACCCGAACAACGCCATTCCTCCCGCAGCACGCCGAATCACAGCAAAAATTCAGCCAGTACCTCCATCGCTGCCCGCGCTGCATGTTGGTCTGGAGGCGAAAATGTGACCCCGACTCTCGAAAAAAGCGATGCTTGTCACCCGCCTCTCCGGTCGCCACCGCCGTCGCCAACACACAAGATACACCACAATAGATCGCACACCCGCTGGCTCTCGCTTTCATCGCTGCAGCCACGCGTGCCATACCAGCGACAGAAAGCGTGTGGACGCATGCGCAGCCCGGCCACACCGGGGATAGTTGAGCCCGTCTGTGTGATCTCCACGTCTGTCTTGTCGTATCTCCGACAGTCGTATCTCCGCCTGCCTTTGTAACTCCGCCTCCCTCCCCTCACTTCTTGGTCTTTTTGGATCGGGGGGTGGTCGCGGCCTTGCCCTTTTTGGAGGCCGCGGGAGAGGAGCGGGACTTCCCCTGCGGCCACGACAAGCGGGGCGGGGGGCGCACTTAGGCAAACGCATGCCGTAGTCGGCAGGCCATAGGCCTCGCATCCCTACAATGCCGACCCAAACAAAAGTCATGTGTGAGGGAATGGGGAGCACCGCTCCGGGTTGGGAGGCTGCTTTCATGCGTCACTTTCCGCGTATTTTTCGCGATGTTAACACTGAATTCCCATATTCCATTCCGCGGACCGACCTGTTCCGCCAAAAATACCGACAATTACACGGTATTTCTACATTTCAACCACGACAACGACAACGCCGACAGCATGACAGCCATCGACAGCAAAAACAAGACCACATTGACAACAGCATCAATGTGCAGCACCTTCTTCTTGAAGGCCGACACGTCGTTGTCTTCCTCCTCCTCCTCCTCGCTCTCGTCACCCCCGTCTTCGTCTTCTTCCTCTCCCTTCAGTACAGCACAGTACAGTACAGTACAGAATAGCACACATGCATATATGTTCGTTTGTTGATGTCGTCGTGGTTGCCACTTATCGATCATTCAGTGTCAGGGTGCCGGCAAGCCACACCGAAAAAACAATCACTGGGCATTCCAGCGTGTGTGCAACATTAAACATGTAAAGGGGGAGCGGGGGGGGGCTAAGCGGCCGGAACGCCAGTTCCACCCGCCCTGCACGGCTGGCGTAGCACGAACCGACATGCATGAAGGAGTCATAAATACCTTATCAAAGCAAATACCATCGCTCACGTATTAACCGCAACAAAAAAATCGACGCAGCAAAGACAAGGAAAAAAAAAACGAGCGTGACTGACAGACTACACGCAACGAACATAATCGAAACGAGAAACACGTCAGTGACACGCTCCCCCGCAACAAACAGCGACTCCAACAACAGCCACAAAAGACCCCGCAAACACTACTGCAAAACAGAGGTGCGCATACCTCCATGGACACAGACTTGGGGGGAGCTTTTCTCTTCTTGGCCTTCTTGGGCGCCTGCAGGGCCACGGCCAGCGCCTGAGACTTGTGCGCCTGGGCATTGTAGCACCTCGTGACCGCCGACCTCGCCTTGGAGTCGATGGAGCCGAACACGTCTAGGGGGGGACGCTTCATGCCCTTCCCGCTCAGCACGAACTCCGGCAACACCTGAATGATGACGACGACGGGGGGTGTACTCATCGTCGTGCATGCTGTAGTCGTTAGACCATTGACCTCGCATCCCTACAAAGCCGGGACGGAGTACGCCGGGTTCTCACCGGACCAGGCTCTCACATCACCAAGCGCGAAGCGCCGTGAGATATTCGGCGAGTCGCATGAAGGGTGCGCTGCATCTTGCCAAGGGTGTTCGGCATCTTGTGCTTACTTCCTTGCGTACGGATGACAGCTGCGTATGAATTAATCTATTTTCTGGTGCTTTCACTTCCAGAGACAGTTGTAAGCACTGTGTAACTGCCTCGAGGGTGCTTGACCATTTTAACACAACGTGGTGCGATCATCCCCCTTGGGCGGAGCGAGTGTTCTCCACCCCGCACAACATGATCTACTCGACCACCATCATGGTTACCGCCAAAAAAAAACAGAGGTAATAAAAAAACGGTAACCTGGTTGCCGAGTTCACGAAGTGAACTGGCTTGTATTACAACGTCGTTGCCAAGCGACGAAAACCCAATCCCGATGGGAAACACCGAGGGGGGGGCTTGTTTTACAACGTCGTTGCCAAGCGACGAAAACCCAACTCCGATGGCAAACACCGGGGGGGGCGGCTTGTTTTACAACGTTGCCAAGCGACGAAAACCCAACCCCGATGGCAAACACCGGGGGGGCGCCGGGAGTTTTTTTTGTTAATTTGCTAGAGTCACTGTTACATTTCAGGGTACAGGCTTAAACAGACTCAAAATAAGCCAATTGTGAGCAATACTTCGTTATTCTTTAATGTACATAGCACCAGCTGGCATCATATGTGTGGTTCAGCATACAGGCCCATCAACAGACTCAAAAATAAGCCACGCATCCAGCGGGCTTTCCTTCCACTCACTGCTGCACAGACTCCAACACATGCACCCTGCTAGTATCTCCAACGGAGGTCTATATCTGTACGTTTGCATATGTTTCCCAGAAAGACGCGTTAGGGGAGACGCGGATCCGAAGGTAGCGGTTGGTGGGTAGGTGGGGGGCATTCCCTCTCTCTTAGAATGTCGGGCACATATAAAGGGAGGCTGTGGGTTGATTTCGAGCCCACAGGGGGGGTTAAAAATCGTACCCGTCCACAACAAACAGGTACCTCGGTGGGAGCCTCGGAAACTACGGGCCGTGCTCTTCGGTGCGAGATTCCCAGAGCAACAAAACCTCTCTGTATGTGCTGTGGAAAGGGAACCGTTCGACAAGTAAACAGTGCACGCGCTTCCGCGGGAGACACGAGGCCAACCACTGGGGGCACCCCATGATAGACACAAAAAACGAGCCGAACAGATGTGCCATACTTTCAAAAGAGAGTGAACCTAATCGGTACGACAGATAAAAGAAACAAGAAAAAGCGAGACAGGGAGAGAGGGTGAACATGAAAACGTGTGATTCATCAAAAAAAAAAACAAGGATAACGATTAAGTGCAAAAGGCCGAATACGCATGAAATATGCATCAAGAACCAGAGACTAGAGAAAGAGTGGACCTACATACGCACAACAAACACAAAAAATCAACGACAGAAAGAGTGGAAATCTGACAACGTGTGATTCATAAAAAAAAACAAGAACAAAGAGAGTCAAGGGAGAGTGAACCCGGCTGCGCATGAAATAAACATCAAGAAGAATAGGAGGAAACAGCGAGAGTGAACCTGAATACGCACGAACAAAAAATCAACAACAGGGAGGGTGAACCTAAAAACGTTTCATCCATAAAACACCCACGAACAAAGAGAGAGAGAGAGAGTGAACCCGATTACGCATGAAACAAGCATCAAAAAGAATAAGAGGAAACCGTGAGAGTGAACCTGAATACTCATGAAAAATGAAAAAGTAAACAACAATTGAGAACAAAAAAAAAAGAGAGAGAAACGGACCTCGAAAAGATCGTCTCTGGACAGACCGTACTCCTCCAGGAGGTCCACACACGCCGGGGCCCCCGCAACGCCCTCTTCTCGCAACGGCTGGGTTAGCAGCCTCTTCAGGAAGTGAATGTACGACAGCCTTATTGCCTTTGAGGGCCGGCGGCACGCGTATGCGTGTAGGGATCGGGGGCGAGACGCCGCAAGCAGGACAGACCGATTAGGGTTAGGTTCGGGCGACAGGGGAGAGACAGGGAGCGGTGGAGAAAAAGGGGGTCCCGGTAAGGGAGGCGGGGTACCAGCCAATACCATCCTCAACGCCGGACCCAAGAACACCAACACCGACTATCATGGATACCTCTCTCTCTTGACCCCTTACCGAAATACACACAAGAAACAGAAAAAGAGGCATGCGGCATTCTCCTCAAACTAACCAGCTTCCAACCGCAATCAGAGTCTCCTCGCCCACGTACAAAGCCAACGAGCTCGCGATCGCGGGGTGCTACTACGACACATCTGCCCGTTCCCCCCAACCAAGCCAACTCCTCTCCGCCATCTAACTCTTTTTTCTTTCGTTTCTCACACCTCTGTGCCGCCGCTCACGCTGGCGTTGAGGTGTGTCGACAGCTCCCCCAGCAGCCGCCGGAGCTTGTTCTCCCGGCTGTAGTTGCCCAGCCACTTGGGGAACTCGGGGAAGCCCAGGCTGCCGCCGCCGACGGACCCAACCCTCACGTTCAGGGCCGCCTGCGCGGGCAGGAGCTCCCAGTGCTGGACGTCCCCCCTACAGGGTTGAGGAGTTCGGGGTGGCGGAACTGTTTGGTGATTCACGTGTGGTTGCGGCCCTAGTTGGCGTGGGAAGGGAAGGAGGAGCTCCCTAGCGCTTACTTAATGATTTTCACAAGGTTCTATCGGTGGGTAGGTGGCGTTTATTGCTTGATGATTCACTGTGGTTGTTGCCATGATATATGCACAGCAACAGACATAATCGGCGTGGGATGGGGAGGAGGAGAGCTCCCGGTCTCCTGTACTTTTTGTTCACAAAGATGGATGTTATAATTGTTTCAAACCTGAAAGAAACGCACAAACCGAAGCGTTGTGCCTGCTTTCGGAGGGGGGAGAGGGGGGGGGCACGCAGCCGTGAGGAGGGGGGTTGTAGGGCGCGTGGTTTGACGGCGCCACGTACAGTTCCGTAGCGAAAAAATTGTTCGCCTCCCGCTTCTCCCAAGACAAGAAGGAACAAAACGAGAGAATGCTGCGATGATGCCCAAACGACGCTGGCAACCGACGATTGTGAGATCGGCACCATCACGCCACAAACGACAGCAGCAACAGCAGGAACAAAACGACAAGAGAAAAACAGTAACCGACAACTGTGAGATCGACACCTCGACCCCCCCCCCACCACCTCCAACCCAAACCTTTCCCGGCTCACCTCATCTTCCCGCTGATGATGTCGGCGTCGCTTACCGCCGCGGACGCCGCGGCAGTTACGTCCGTCCTTACTTTGGCATCGACCTGCATCAGGCTCGACAAGTAATTCTGGTGGATCAGCAGGGGCAGCAGGCTGTAGTCGGTGAAGAAGAGCTCGTATCGGTCGCGAAGCGGTGTCCGGGAGGCCCCCCCGAGGATGCTGCGGGCAGCATCGAAGGGCCCCATCCTCTGATTCTGCGGGGAGGGGAGGGAGGAAGGGAGGAGAGAGATAGAGATAGATATTGAGAGTCAGAGAGAGAGAGAGAGAGGGGAAGATGTTGCAAGTTGTCGGCGATGATTCTGTCGTCGATGGTACTCAATAGTGGCGATGGTCATGTAACTTATCTCTCGTGTAATTTTCGTTCTCCTTGTTGCTGGTTGCGGTCAGCTGCTTTTCATTGGTCGTAGTTGGTGGTGGTGGCTGGTGCTCCGTTGTGTTACCGCGTGGCGTTGTGGGAACCCACAAGAAAAAAAAAATACTCGTCACTGCTGCTGTTGCCGCCTACACTATCGTCTCGGCTTGGACAACCAATTGTTAACTCCAGCACCCACAAACCAACCACCGTTCGATCATCGCAGCGGCACGTCGTCGAAGAGAAAGAGACTGACTCTCGATGATAGATCGATCACCTTGTCCTTTTCGATGGCAGAGATGCCTCCCTTGAGGTTCATGTAGGTCATCTTCGACGACTTCCGGCTCCACATCTGAAGCGCGTGCAACACCTGCTCGAGATCGAAGCAACAGGAGAAGCACAGCAGTGAGCGGATGGCGGAGGAGGATGAGGAGGAGGAGGAGGAGGAGGAGGCATGCGCAGCGGGAAACGACGGGGACAGGAGGGGGACGCGACAACAGGGATTGCTAACGAAGAGGGACGAGACGGAGGAGGCTAGGCAGGCAGTCATGACACCCGTTCCAGAAAAAACCAGCACCGGCCCCACAACCACAGAGAAAAAAAAAAAAAGTACATAGAGATAACGAAAAGACCCGCAAATGCCAGGGTCATGGGACAGGCGACTTCTCTGTTACTTTAGAAAAGAACACACGTAGCTCCTTCCCTGTTTCCACTCGAGCGCAAGCCCCCATACTCCAGCCCCCCCCCCCCCCCCCCCCCCCCCCCCCCCCCCCCCCCCCCCC